CGGCCGGCACCTAAGGGCGAGGTCCTCGGGGGCGGGGACTTGCGGGGAGGCCGCGGGTTCGAGTCCCGGCCCCGCCGGCAGCGTGGGCCCAGGCTTAAACCGCGCCTGGTGCTCGCTCGCTGCCGGGCTTTGCCCTTGGAGCGGTTTATGGGGGGAAAGGGGGCTTTGCCTGGGCCCCCGGGGACCCCCGTTCTCGCTTTCTGCCACCAGGATGACCCCATCTGCCACAAAACGCCTGTGTGGCGGGGCACAGACCCACAGCGGTGGGAATGGGCTCGTCAGGACGCTTACACTACTCTTTCCAATTTTATTTCTTTTTTTTTTTTTAAAACAGAAATTACTTCCTTGTTCCTCTGTGCTCTCAACAAAGCACCACCACGGTACTGCCATCTCGCATTCAGCCGGGTGAAGCCGTTGCTTCATGCCAGTAAAGAGCAGCTTCCACGGAACAAGCGTCCGAAGCCGCGGTGAAGGTCTCGCATCTGCCCGATACAGGTCATGCTCCTGACCAGACACAGCTACAAAACCAAGGATCTACACCCTGCAGTGAGATTCACATGCGGGGACCATTAAATACAAGATCCTACTCCCTACAAAAATGCCTCCCATTGGTATTTCAGGCTAAATACCTCATTTAGCCCTTTCCTGCAACTCTAAGTCACCTGGGAGGAACTCATTAGTCTCACTCCCTCCAGCAGAGCCATGCTAAAGGCTTACCGTAACAGTTGTGAGGTGCATTCCTCAGCTGCACAACCTACTGACTCACTGAGGTACCCTAAACACCTCACCAAGAGAGAGGAAACAGAGTAGGTTTTATCTAAAGGAGGACCGAACTCAAAAACACGGCAGCGCTTTTTCAAACTCGCTGAACCGGGCGCCCAGCAGCCGAGAGGAGCACCAGGTCACGCTCTTTGTTCGGAAAAGAACTGTAATAACGCCGCGTACGCACTTTGCTTTCCTGTAGCTCACCCCAGAGATCTGTTTGCCCTGACTGACAATTTTTAACTCAGAACACCCATGCAAAGTATGCCCGATACCTTTTTACATAAGTAAATATTACCTTTCACAGGAGATGAGGCTGAGACACAGCTAAAAGTCAACACTATGAGAGCAGTTCCCAGAGCTCAGTGTCCCACTTGAGGGCATTTGGCTTGGCAAGTAGGAGACAGAACACCAGAGCTGCTCGCCAGCTCTCCGTTTCCAAGTAATGCCGGGTGCCAGGGGTTATCGGCATCTCGGAAAGCAATCCCTTTACCTTTCTCCTCTCTCCGGCAGCGGTAGCTGGCAGGGCTGCCCGCGGCCACAGGGAGAACAGGAAAGGGTGTGGTGGCGGCTGCCACATCGCAGGAGCTGACTGGGTGCCCACGCTGCGCCCGGCGCCCGTGGCTTTGCCCTCTCCCCGCAGACTTGCACCTGGCTTGAATTGTACAAATAACTTTCCCAAAGTCATACAGTCACAGAGCTAAAAATAGAGATGGGACTGGCTAAAGCCCTTTCTCAGAACTAACCAGAGCCCCCTTAAAGCCTTATAAACACAATTTTCTCCCTTTCTTCCCCGTTTTCTGTCTGCATCTCTCCCATCTGCCCACGTATTTAGCCCACCAGCTCCCCTGCAAGCCCAGTTCGTGGGCGGCAAACTAGCTCCAAGCGTGTCTGAGCCAGGGCTGCCCTTCCAAGGTGAATTTATTCCGCTTTACACCACCTCAGCACTTTGTCTGAAGCCAATTTATCCTCTACGAGCAGCCCGCCTTTCACACAGCACACAAAGGGCAGGTGCGTTTGCTAACGTGAGGGCACACAAGAACCCTCTGAACAGAAGGAGCTGTGTGCAGCCTGTGAGTAAGAAACTGCATACAGCTGCTGATGCAAAATTTTTTAGCTCATTCTGTGGTCAAAACTGGAATCTCGCTTGCTGTTGCTCCCTCTGTACTAATTCCTCATGTTTAATATTAGCCTTCTGGAGACACCCTCTACTGTCATCTGTCAGGCATTCAGCGGGAACCCAAGGGAGGAGGTTCAGCTTTAAGGAATGCCATATTTCCCTTACAAATGCAGAAAAGTAACTGTCTACGCCCCAAAGAGCTATCAGGGAAAGTTTAAACTTCTCTGTCAAGCTATTGTTCTTGGCTCATGTTTTCATCAAGGCTGTTTTTTTCATCACGACTCATTTATTGTTTTATATACGTTCCCTCAGTTTGAAAGATTTCTACCTCCTGCTTTGTCAGCATCAGCTACTCACAGAGTAGCTGACACAGACGTCACGCTCACCATGTTTTTCTTTCCGTTTGTAAGAAATAGAGAAAAAAAAGGTTACAAAGCTCAGCTTATAAACAGAGATCAGGGCAACTCATTTATTGCATGAATTAGATGACTGCAATGAGAAAACCGGTAATATAGTACCTTGGCCTTTGAAGAACAGAATGCACGCCCTTAGCCTGGAACACATGGCTTTCAAGTTCCTGTACCTTTAGTTTCAAAGGGCTCTGTGACGACGGTCCTGGAAGAAAGCCCCGGAGGAGAACAGCTGTCAGAAACATGTTAGTAGAATGAGGTTGCATGAGGTACTGGCAGAAGATAAAGCTCTGCTCCTTCGGTTTGTTTAGCAAAAAAGTAATTAAAAAAAAAAAAACTATGAAAGACTAAGCCACCGCGAG